ATAGTTGAATAGTCGAATAGTTGAATAGTTGAATAGTTGAATAGTCGTTGAATAGTTGAATAGTCGTAACGACTTAACGAGTTCTACACTACTGTAGACGTAAGTGAATAATTATTATAACGGATAGGTCAAAATAAATAAATATTTCATATTTCTTCAATTATTTTACCAATTTAAATCTAATCTCAGCAACTATTTTGTATTATTAAAATCACCATTTGATGTCCTATAAAACTTTAAGTTATAGAGAAATAAGTCACGATCGCGAATATTATTTTTTTTCCAGCTTGCATGGTAGTACTTAAAGAAACCAGAGTGGTCCATTTGGAAGAGCATAGATTATATATCGAAGTCATTTGTAAACAAAATTTTTATTAAAACCTTTGAATATACCAAAAATCGTTTGTTGAAATAATGTTATTTTTATTTTGAAGTCTAGAGTCTTTATTATCGTATGAGTTGTGCAATACGCTGAAGAGATAAATACAACTTCAGCGATCCAGAATGCCAAAATTGAACCTTTGAAAGCTAATACTTTTCGTCATCTGAATTTTTTCCTCCATAGTTTTGTCATAATTCATTGTAGAGAAATTGTTTAACAATAGTCTTATTTATTCCAACCTATTCTTTATATTTTATAATATGATCTATTGTAGGCAACTTATGTCTTAATCGTGAAGTAATCAACTTACTGTCATATCGTGGCATATCCAATGAACATATTCTTGTTTTTCAACTGCGAAATATCTTATGGCTTATTGCGTCACTTTTTTCCAATAAATCAGCCTTGTGTGTTCTTCGTGATAAGATTCTTCATGTTTTACCATGGTTACAAATTTCTCGTCATTCAAATTTATCAAGCGAACCTTTTTTTCGTCGTCTTCTTCTTACAACAATTACTAATAATCTTCATCAAATAGTAACAAGAGCTCATATCCGTGTTCCGAAAGCACGTTATATGTTTGGCATCGTTGATGAATATAAAGTACTTAAAGAAGGACAAGTTTTTATTCAAATTACTGATGAAGATGGACATAAAACTATTTTGGAAGGACCAGTTGCTATTACAAAAAATCCATGTCATCATCCAGGAGATTTACGTGTTTTAAGAGCTGTTAATGAGAAGACTCTCCATCATTTATATGATGTTTTAGTATTTCCTCAACAAGGCTCACGACCACATGCCAGTGAAATATCTGGATCGGATCTGGATGGTGATGAGTATACTGTCATTTGGGATCCAACACTCGTACCTATTTCACCTAATCCAACTCCATACGAGTATGATTCTGGACCAAGTCCAAAGCCTCTTAATCGTATCGTAACGCGCAATGATCGCTTAAAAGTTATATTGGATATTTGTGAACAAGACAATTTAGGTCGTTTGAGTAATATTCATCTTGTTCTTGTCGATCAGCTCGGTATTGACAGTGAAGAAGCAATTTTATTAGCTGCTGGATTAAGTCAAGAATTAGATAGCGTAAAATCAGGTGAACATCCGTATACATCAGATCAAATTAAGAACATTGTTAACACAGCTGGTACAACTAGACCTGATTTTATGCAAATATCTGATTATGAAGTGTATCAATCTCAGAAAATACTTGGTAAGTTATATTTATATTACATTTTGACATAAATTTAAATAGATTTAGAATTTTTATTTTTGTCTAATAGGAAAATTATTTCGAAGTGCTCATCATTTAAATGATACATTTAAAAATGCATTTTCTAATGATAATAATGACATTAGTCTTGATCGAAATCTTCTTCACACAGGTTATGAAGAATATATTGATTTTGCACAAAGTCTTTACAAACGATATCAATTCGAGATGTTAGAAATTATTGGATCTTATGGATTTTCTAATGAAATTGATCTTTTTTGTTGTATTGAATCACGTAACATGAAAGCCAATGAAAGAAGTGATATCCAACAAACAGCACAACAATTATTAAAAGCAATTTTTCAAAATATTCGAAAGAGTTTTAATAATGATCTTATAACATATCATAAAGTAAAAGCTAAAGCAGCTGCTTGTTATTACGTAGCATATACTGATACAAGTGGTAAAGACAAACGTATGTTAAGTTTTCCTTGGTTATTTGCTGCTCCACTTCTTGTCGATTATTCTATTGCTTCTGAAGATAAAGAAACCAATGATTTTATGGAATATATGTTCAATTCAAATTCAAAGTTGTACCATTACCTAAAGAAACAATTACCTTCTATGATGAATCTACTCCCGAATGGCAAACAATTTACTTTTATGAAAATTTTGGAAATATGTTTTGAAAGTGCATGTGCTACTAATAATGAACAAATGATTAATTATGCCGAAACACTTATTGAAATGTTGATTGCAATTTCAAAAACATAACTTATTGTAACTGAAATCTATTTATATTATATTTTTGTTTTAACAAAGTTATTATTAACGCTTAAATTACTAATTTATTTATCTATATTTGATTTTTTTCTTTATCATCAAGAACAAAGATATTTTTTACTATATTATTACTATTCTTATCAAAAATTCAATTCATATCAATCCTAATCATTCCTCCAGAGCTGGGCAACTCAACTCAAAATGGTGGTCAATTCAATTCAATTCATTGAAAGAAAACTTCAACTCAATTCAATTCAACTCATAGATACTATAAATTTTTTCTCAACTCAACTCAATTCAATTCATGCATCTTGGAAAAAATATTCCAATTCAATTCAATTCAATTCATACATCTTGGAAAAATATTTCAATTCAATTCAACTCAATTCATGCTGATTGACAGTTTTATTAAAACTCAATTCATGTATCCTGAAAAACTTTTCCAATTCAATTCAACTCAATTCATGTATCTTGAAAATTGTTTCCAACTCAATTCCACTCAATTCAATGACTTCGAAAGTTTTTTCTGAATTCAATTCAATTCAACTCATCGAACACGAACTTTTTTTTCAACTCAATTCAATTCAACTCTATTACTGAATTGAATTGAATTGAATTCAACTCACCTCGGTATTTCGTTTCCTTCACATCTGACTTTAACTAGAGTTATCTACTGTAGAACGATTTGGACTATTTATTCAACAATATTGCCAGACTACAAGAGAAGGTCATAACTGAATCAAACAATAATGAACAAAGGAGGTATACAGTATAAGAGGTATGCGTTCCCAATAGATAACATACCAGTCAACAAACAAATGATTTGCATGATATTGCCCTATAAGACAAGGATAAATGGACATTGTATCTGTCACTTGAAAGAATAGGAAAACAAATCGATACGTTGAGAGCTTAGGTGCTTAAATTATACGTAACCATCAGAAAAGAAAAGAAAATAGTGATAAGTTGACTGAAGCGCATCAGAAATATACATCAAAATGCAAGTATAATGCAGCTATGTTGAAATAGAAGCTCGGAAGAAAAATTACAAAAATAGATCATAGTTCATACCTTGATCTTTCATTAGTTTTAATGCGTAAATTGATCATACAACAACAGTTTCAGAAATATCTTTGAGTTGAATTGAATTGAAATGAATTTGCAAATCTCGAGAAAAATGCTTCAATTCAACTCGATTCAATTCAGTGATCTCCGAAGTTTTTTTTCAACTCAATTCAATTCAATTCACTCATCTCCAAAAAAGATATTCAATTCAACTCAATTCGATTCAGTGACCTCGAGATTTTTTTCAATTCAATTCAATTCAATTCAGTAGGCTCTGAAAATTTTTTCAATTCAACTCAATTCGATTCAGTGATCTCAGGATATCTTTTTCCAACTCAATTCAATTCAATTCCTTGATTAAGATTTTTTTCCCAACTCAATTCAATTCAATTCATAGATGTTTGAAAGTTTTGTCCAATTCAATTCAAAGAAATTAGTATATCTTTGAAAAATGTTTCAACTCAATTCAATTCAACTAGTAGTCCCTGAAAAATTTTTGTCAACTCAATTCAACTAGGTTCATGAATTGAATTGAATTGAGTTGAGTTGGCCGTTTTTTGAATTGAGTTGCCCAGCTCTGCATTCCTCGTATGCATCACGAAAAAAATATCAATTTGAATTATTTACAATATATTTAACTGAGTAAATCTCAACAAGAATATAATCAATAAAATTAAAAAAATTGACTCTCATTCATAAACTATTCAAACATTAATACTTTTTCGTTGATTGTTTAGTTGAATGGAAAATTTTATTTTACAAATAGGTAAGTGTAATTCGTTTGAATGGATACCTATTAAAGAATTTTGATATCTTTTTGTTAATTAATATCTGTAGGATTGAATCTCATGTGATATAGTGAGTAATAGTGAACAAACTATCGATAATCCTGATACATGCTTAAATGGATTTATTACAAATGGCTAGATTATACTTTATTTCTGAACTATCACATAACGTCACCTAGAATGTGGGTGTGGGGATGTGACTGTGTGTGGGGTGTGGAGATAGTTGAAACTCAAAAGAACACACTGATCCACCCACACCCCTAGTGGCTATACGGATACCCATCCAGGACCTTTCGAAACAGTGGCCGAAGTGTGTTTCTCCATCCGGTCACGCGGCGCCTTTCATCTGCTGCAGCTCGTGCCGAAAACCACTGTGTGTCACTCATTTTTTCTAGAATGATCACTTTCACTGATTTTCGGTAGACAGATCGTTGTGTTTTAAAATAATATCAAAAACAAGATAGGACTTTTGTGTACTCTTTGGACTCATGAATAATGAATAGAATCGTTACAGATAAGATTATATCTAGCTCTCGAATCAAAACAGATCGGATAAAAAACGCATAAGATTGGAAAAAAGCTTCAGTCTTTAATGCTTCACTTTTCTCGAACAGAGCCATTGATCGTTTTATTCTCGTTTCCTTATACCATATCTTGAAAATTCAATATCTTAGGAACAAAGGCGCGAGGGAATGAATCCTTTTCAGCTCTTTCATACCTCATTGAGGTCTAGTTATGGCCAAAAGATGGGATCTAAACGGCTTGAACACCTGGGGACCTTTCCTCGTAAGCTTTAGCTTTTTAACAAGGTCTATCGAGAAGAATGACTAAAAGATGTTCTGTTAAATCTCGAAAACTAGGTCGCAAAGGGTGTGGATGTGTTTGCATCTTCTCTACACCCACACCCTGACCGACTACTATTACCATGCTTGGCACGGTAAAATATGTGCCATTACTAAGCGCAAGCAGGGACAAAAAGGGTGTGGGTGTTGTTGAAGCACTAAACAGCATGCCTAATCGTATCCCACTCACACCCACCCCCTTTAAGCCGAGTGAACGGACCTAGATGCGGGTGTGTGTTGGTGTGAGTGTGATGTGTGGGTGTGGATGGGCGTCGGATGTGAACTAACAAGAGTTCCACTCACACCCACACCCAGAGTATGGGCTCTGACACTAGCCAAGATTCTTTGATATCTTGGCTTGGTGGATAAGATTCTGGCAAAATATCCGATACCCAGAGTTTTGATCGAATCTGTCATTGCAGCTTTGCTTAGCAGTATGATGTCGCAGGTTTATGGAAAATCTTCATTTCTTTTTTTCTTGCTTTAGTTGTACACTCGTGGTGTGTGTACAAAGGGGGAGAAACTCTCCGAGAATATTGAACACTCGGTAGCAGAAGTTAGCGTTCAACATATGTACTTACCTATTCACTAACAGTAGTCTACACTGCAGAAAAAGTGTTACATATATATTAGTCTGAACTGTAAAATAAAATGGATAAAGAGAGAGAGATAAAAAAAAGCTGCCTGACTGAGAGTAATAAGATTCTGCCAGAAAATGCAGATTCTTAGGAAATTTACCAGAAAATGAGAGTCTGACAGAAATACCTTTCCGGTTTTCGACTTGTGACTTTTTAAAATACATTTTTACACGTAAAGTGACCCTTCGTTTCACTGGCCCATCACCGAAACTTCTTTCTTTTTAAGTAGAGAGTATCTTGGCTAAAAATACAGAAGGTTGACAAGATATCGAACATTAAATTTCTCGATAGCCTTACTTCCAGTGACGAGAATAATCTGATTTCTGTCAATTTTCACTGTCGTTTCGTGATACAGTGTCTGTATTTTAATCGTTTCCAATTTACCTTTCTAAACTGTTAGTTCTTTAAAACTGTCACGAGACAACACATATTCATCACCATTAGTTCCCGTTAAAGAAAAAGATGACTCAAATTGATGACATTTCTTCTATTGTCTATTCACAGAAGGTTTCTCCTCCTCCCAATGTTTTGTCCATCAACATAGATTTTGATTGATTTTCTTTGTTTCATTCAAGAATTCATTTTCTTTTTAGCCAACTAACACACAATGACGTAGCTATTGCAATTGAATCTGTCGAAGAATTACATTCAGAGAAAGCTTGAAGTCCACAGGATAATATCGCATAAATTTTGACGATTCATCTTCTTCATCAGATTGAAAGTGAAAGTTTATCTATTTTGAAATGGCGAGAGAACAGTTTCCTGAAAATAACGTCTATTAGAATTTTGTCTGTAGTTAATACAGAGAGGTAAACTGTGGTAGCTGTTAGATTGAAAGGAAAGACGATATTTTAGATCAGAAAGTGAAGAGAATTGTCATTCTTGAAATAACGTTCAAGGAAGTATTGATTTCAGATTCAGTATCGCCCACTTCGTGAAACTATTGAGTAGTTGAAGAAAAGTTTTTTGAAATTTGATTTTAATAGAGAAGTGATTCGCTCCCAGGTTTCAATGATTAACTCAATAGAATATTTTCCTGTTGAACTGCTCGAGTTGAGTGAAAAGGTACTAAAGTGAAACATTCATTTTGAAAGTAGAGTACTCCATTTTACTGTCTTATTTCAGTTTGAAAATAGTGAGTGAGTGTGGTTTCTATATGTGAAGAAAGAGACAACTTTTCGTTATTGTATTGACACGGATGAAAGATCATATAAACATGCATATGTATGAAGTTGTTTTGATGAATTTTAACGATATCCAATGAGTTTCAGTGAACAGTTAGAGAGTAGAATTTTGATGACTGCCTTATTAATAAGTCATACTTTTTACTGTTAGAAAATTGTCAGAATATGAATTTCTGATTTTTAAATTCGACACTAATTACGAATATGATAGCACAGCTGAGAAAGTGTTGAGTTTTCGTGAAGATAGCCTTGATTATTTGGATGATAGTATTCCGACACTGTCGTTTTGTGCCTGTATCCACATTTTTTTAATTGTTGTTTGCCTTTAACAGACCTTTAACTAATCGGATATGATTATAAAGTGCACTACAAGATTGTCTCGCTATTTTAGAAGAGCAATACTCAGAATTTGATAATTCGTCCGTTAGTACATCTATTATGAGGGTATTTTTAACTGCAGCGAACTGTAGCGTT